TTAGGGATTGGAGAATCTGGCCATTTAACAAAGCAAACCTTTTTTTCAATGTGACTTATAAAAAGAAAACCCAGTCCCGGAAATGACATGCCCTTAAAGCCCAACTCCAGAATTTGTTCCCCTTCTCATTAAATCATTATCATATCTTTACCAATAAATAAAAGCTGCAATCATTTTCCAATCAGATACCTCCAAGATAAGCAGCTTAGGAATGTTGCAGGTGCCCAGGACAGGAAATATACAGATCAAACCCAGTAAACTGGTGTTTGCATGGAGCAGGACACACAAGATATGTGAGGTGGAACTGACTCATACACACAGCACTGACAAAGATACAGTTTGGCATCAAAGCAATATTAAGGGCTATTCTTTTAGGTAAAATAAAAAATATGTTATACTTACCTGCTCTGTGCAACAATATTGCATAAAACGGTTCCTTATCTCCATTTTGGCATTTCCCTATCAGTGCTATCTGCTCCTCCTTCTTGCAGATGCCCCCACAGCAAGCCTTGTGCTAAGGGTGCACGTGTGCGCAGGCTCTGTGTATACATAGACACACACAGCATGGCTCAGCCACACCCTTTGCTCCCTCCTCACAGGATTTCACTGACAGCAACAGGAGCTTATGCAGGGAATGCATTAAAGTGTTACTAAACCCAGGACCCTGCATCCACTATAGCTGGTCTCCCACAGTACACATGTCCAGCCCAGCACTAGCTAAAGCTCGTAGGAGGAGTTTTCTTTCTGCTCTAGGAGGATGGCAATCCCCTAATCTCTGTTTGGACAGTGCTGATTGGCCGTGTGCTGATCACATGCACACTCCCAAGAAAACAAAAACCTCTCTAGCAATTTACACCAAACTGAGCATATGCATGCCTATGGTTCAGTCTAGAGATAAGTGGTGGTCGCTGGAAAAAGGGGAAGAACAGAGAAGAAAGGATCAAATAGCATTTTTACACAATGCAGAGGATTAACCCCTTAGGTTCCACAGTGAGTATAACAAGCATTCTTTATTGCATATACAGACTGATTTTACTATTGTGGGTTTAGTAACACTTAAGGTAAAACAAGTTTTGACTTTAGAACCTCTTTAAGCTGTATATGGTGTTATGGAACGGTATGATTTTCATAGACATTTTGAATGTGTAATTGATTTTTAAACTTTTTCATTAATTTGGCTTAAATACAGCAGTAGTTCCCCAATCTGATTTATTTCAACTTGAAAAAAAGCTTTGTTAGGTTGTTTTGGCTTCGACACCTGATTTGTTTTTTTTAAATTAAGCAGTAATAATCTTGCATTGGCCAGTGAGAGTAGCAGCGGGAGTAGCAGCCACAACAGATCTGAAAGCTATAGAAAAATTATAATAGTAAAAAATAAAGCAAAAGATTTTAAGCTAGCCAGTGGCAAAACAGTTCAATAATAATGTTTGTGAGCTACTTTTGCTTCTTTTTTTTTTTTTGCATTGTCATAAAAGCTTAATAAAATGTTAAAACAAAGACACAAGAGCACTTCAAAACCACATCTCCCAAACCCCTTGCCACCCCCATAATTGAACTATTTTCAAGATATTTAAAATGTAGACTTCAGATATCTATTTGGTAGAAATTGGCTAGTATCAGGATGATACTTAAGAACCTGAATAAGCAGCAAACAGAAATAGATAAGACAGGTTTTAACCTGCAATAAAAAATTTAGAGTGTATTATGTGAGATACAATAGCCACAAATATTGTTCAGTGGCTGGACAGTATGTAAGCAGTTTGGTTAGGCTGCAACATAATAGGGAGGAACGAGACTGGTTTTATCTTGCAGGAAAATTAGAATGTATTATTTGAAGGACAAATATTTTTAAGTGCAGGAGCACAGGAATAGGCTCCACATTTTGAGGCACAATACAGGATTTTCCCTGCAGTCAACATGACAAATTTGGTAGCTGAGGTCCAGCTGTGGAAACATTGTTTGGCACCTTTACAGTGCCTGGTCACTGGAATAGGTTGTAAACTTTGAGACACAAGGCAGAAATTAACCTACAGCAAAGATGAGAAATTTGGTAGCTGAGGTCCAACTACAAAAACAATGTGTGACACTTTTACAGTGCTGGAACAGTGGAATAGGCTGCAAACCTTTTGGTGCAATGCAGGATGTACCCTACAGCAAACATTAGAAATTTGGCATCTGGAGTTCAGCTGCAGATTGTACAGAAACATTGTACAGAAACATCTGTACCTATACAGTACTAGAGCATTAGATTTGAAAATTCGCACAGGATTTACCCTGCAGCAAATTAATGGAGTGCCTATCAGTGGACCATGCTCAGATGCAGGCCCAGTGCCTTTTAACTCCTTTTGTCACTACTCCCTGGGTTCCTAGACATGCTCAGGGAAGATAAGTTGGTCTGCTTCCCTTTTTATGCAGCACGCCTGATGTTTTGTGAAAACTGGATAGGTGCCAAATGAACCCTCAGACTTCTTGGTATGAGTTATAATTTATATAATTTTGCATGGGTGATTTCATGTAATTGTAATAAAGTAAGTTATTTAGAAAATGTGTCCAACTTGTCCATTGTGCTGAAGATAAAGACATAAAAGAATCTTGGGATATCTGAGCTGTTTCGTCTCTGAAGTAAGAAAATGACCCAGTTGCAGTTGTCTCTTTAGAGGTTATATTGAAAACTCATACAGATCCACATGGGTATATTAATTTAAAGCTAACAGTGCACCACACCTGTAGTACAATGAGTGTCGGCAACCAAGGCATCCCAAAAGCCTCCATTATAGAGAAATTGCCAAAGGGATTTCAGAATTTAAAGATTTGTTATGAAACAAAGTAAAGTCAAAGAAGAGTTTTTCATAGAAATTGCAACAGTATGGGGCTGTCCGCCCTTCCTCAGGCAAGAAAAACACAACTAGTTACAAAGTAGGAAACAATCTAATTTAAAGAAAAAAACAGGAACCAGAAATGAGAGAACATCAGAAACTAATTAACAAAGTAAATAGCATACACGTCGACATCTGTGTAAAGAGGCATACTGTGATTGGGAAGCAATCTTTCTCCTCAGGGACTTATAACAAAATACAAAAGATGTTCAAAAAGACTTTTCTTCTTCAGAGACCTAAATACAAATGCAAAAAAAAAAACAAATATAAAGATGTAGGAAATATACATAAAGCTAAACAGCCAAGGTATAAAAAACAGAGAAAGAGATTAAGAACACGCAAGAGGCAATCCTATGTTTCCAGTCCATACCCCACACCACCATTGTCCAGATACATAAATATAAAACAATATACACTGTACATATCATGCACCAGGGGTAATATACAAGTAGAGTAAAACTATATAAGAGTAGAAAAAAAAATAAAAAAAAATATATATATATACATATAATTTGTCCTTTATAAAATACATATTTATAATTTAACAGAAACAGGTTAAGAGAGTGATGAAACAGTCCCTGGAACTTATTACCATCTTAACCATCTAGTCCCTGGCTGACAATTCAACATACTTTCTTGACACGAGTATTACAATTCGAGGGAAGTGACTGATTGGTAATCTGTATGCAAAACCCACTGGTCTTAATCAGTCACAGGAACGCATTAACCCCCCATGTCCTTGGTAGGGAACTCTTAGCTTCTAAACTTTGAATCTCTTATTTCCTGATTTCATCCATATTCTCATAAAATGTATTCCAAAATTAAAAAATCATTGATGGATTGTCAAAAATCACCACTTTAATGCCCATCCTTTTATATAGAAGAATAGAAGAGTTCCTACTATCTACAATAAACTAGGTAGGTTGAATCAATATTTTATGAAATGACTGTCAAGATTAACAGGTATTTTCAGTTTTTGCTGAAAGTGTTCTTAGCTTAAAAAAAAAGAAAATGAAGGCAGCTAGCCCACCTAAGCTGTAAAATATATTGGGGTTTACTAAAACTGGAGCGTGTAAAATCTGGTGAAACTCTGCATAGAAACCAGTCACCTTCCAGGTTTTATCATCAAAGCTTAATTGAACAAGCTAAAGTTAGCAGCTGATTGGCTACCATGTACAGCTGCACCAGATTTAGCATTCTCTAGTTTTAGTAAATTATCCCCATTGCAGCTTTGTTCTTGGGTTCAGTTACCCTTTAAAACACAGGGATACTACACTTTCCAGTCAACATATGTAATTTACATCCTAAAGTGTCTTTGTGGTTTACTGTACCTGGGAGAACCACGCAAAAAGCCACAGAGGGAATAGCCAGACACAAATACTGGAACTGAAATGGAATGGACTAACACAATCACTTGTAGCCCATCATGTTGTGGAATTTCACCCTTCAGTCTCTATATGTCCCTGAGGAGGTAGATTGCTTCCAGATCACTCCCATTTTACAAACATGTCAATATGTATGGCTATTTACTTTGTTAATTAGTATCTGATGTTCTCTGATTTCCGGTTCCTATTTGTAGCTTTAAATTAGAACACTTTGTTACTTTGTAACTAGATGTGTTTTTCTTGCCAGAGGAAAGGAGGGCACCTGACATTGTTGAATTTCAATGAAAATACTTCTGTGACTTTACATTAAACTTTATTCCATGTTAAAGTGCTTGTAACCTTAAATATGATGATTCATATGTTTGTCTCTTTAAGGATTTAACCACTTGTCCTCCTGAGGATGTACCCCCCTTCCTGACCAGGCCATTTTTTTTGCTTTACAGCGCTGCGTTACTTTAACTTACAATTGCGCAGTCATGCAACACTACACCTAAATAAAATTTATGTCCTTTTTTCCCATGAATTGAGCTTTCTTTCAGTGGTATTTGATCGCCTGTGCGTTTTTATTTATATATATATCTATTATTTATTATATATCTATAAAAAAAAGGCCGACAATTTTGAGAAAAAAACAACATTTTTGACTTTTTGCTATTAAACATCCAGTAAAAAGATTTAAAAAATCTAATTTCGTCATAAATTTAGGCCAAAATGTATTCTGCTACATGTCTTGGCTAAAAAAAATTCCAATTCGTGTAAATGAATTGTTTTACGTGAAAGTTATAGCATCTACAAATGGCAATACAGTATATACAGTATACTGGAATTTTATTTTTATTTTTTATTTTTACTAGTAATGGCAGCGATCAGCAACTTATAGCGGGATTGAGTGATGCAGTGGGCATTCTGACACTGGGGGGAACTGACATGGCGTCGCTGACATCCCCAGTGACACCAACACAGTGATCAGTGCTAAAAAAAAAAAGCACTGACACTGTACTAATGGCACTGGGCAGGAAGGGGTTAACATGAGGGGCAATCAAAGGATTAACTGTGTGCTGGGTGTGTTTTTTACTGGGGGGGTGGTGTCTGTGTGCTTCACTGTAAGCACACAATAAGCACACTGTGCACAGCCATCCAAAGCAGTGTGGCGAGCTGACAGGGAGGAGAACTGTTAGTAAACAAAACAGTTCTCTTCCCCATCGGAGATCCTCAGTAATCACCGGGCACCGGCAAGTAATCACTGGCCGGAACCCAGTGATTGACAGCCACGGCCCTACCTGGAAATGCAAAATCACGTATATATACATGATTTTGCGCACCTGTGCCACCCTGTAGCAGTATTTCTGCTGTAGGGCAGTCGGGAAGTGGTTAATATGTGTTATATAAATAATAATTTATTTGTGGGTGTAATCCTTCAATATTACCTGGTTGTTCCTGCCAGTTCCTCACTTCCTGGTAGTAAACTGTCCACTCTAAGCTGTGATTGCATCCATTACCTTGGAAGCACTGACGCTAGGCCATAAAGGTTACTTCTGGAAATGACATCCATGACCTACATCACTTTTTTTTTTTTTATTACAAAGATGGATTCATTTACTGTACATATTCGACTCTTGGATAAGGTATATAGTGTTACTTGACTTCACAACTACTTTAAATATTTAAAGTATAACTAAAGGCAAAAGTTTTTTTTTTTTATATATAGAATGGAGATGGATAAGAACCCCTGTCAGGTATTTATTGCTGTCTGTACCCCTGTTAAGGAGATTCACAGTCTCTTTTTGTCCTGTTTACCATTATTACCAAAAGTGAAAAAAATGGCAAATTTTGGGTTGTCAGCAGAACAAGAATGGAGGTGAAATCTTTCAGTGAGGCACTAGATCTGGTGACCCTGATGACAACCAGGGATTCCTTCACTTTGGAAAGATTTGCATTGAGCTCCTGTTTTCACCCAGGGACAGGATGTGTAGGGAAATCTCCCCTATGGGACATAGATGACAAAACAAACTGACAGGGCTTGTAACCCTTCCTTACTCTAGTCAAAATACATTTTTAGATAAAGTATTGCCTTTAGTTCTACTATAAAGTGATACTAAACCTAAAAATGTTTTTTACCTAATGCATTCCTTGGACTTGGGTTAAGCCCAGCAATGTGTGTCTATGGAGTGTGGCTCCATAAACACATAGCTCCAGAGTGAGCATACACAGTGTGCCTCCATAGCCAATGGCTTGCTATGGGGACACAAAAAGAGAGGGAGGAGCCAAGATTGTCATCAGGGGAGCCAAGAAGAGGAGGTTCAGGGCTGCTCTGTGCAATACCATTGCAGAGAAGATGGTAAAAATAGAGCGTAAAAATGAAAATCCATGATCTTCCTTCCCCCAGAGTAATGATCTGTCACTATGGTAATACTGTACTACAATGACAATCTGTAGAAAAAAAAGTTAAAAAAAAAAGAAAAAATATGTTAAAAGAATGAATAAAAAAATTATTCAATTTTTTTTTTCTTTTGCATACTTTCACCAGTCAGTATCCCTAATCACCGCCACAGCAGTCATATGATGCTGTACTTCACTGGTGACAGTATGTAAAACAATTGTGTGAAAAAAGCTAATTTTAATAAATTTAATTAAAGTTGTGGCAAAAATTACAACTTCAACTCACCATGTCTTTTACCTCAGATTGTCTACTTTCAAAAATGATGTCATTTGGGGGCTATTTATACTGTCTTGACATTTTAAGGCAATAAGAAAGTCCATCAGTACTGATCCATTTTTAAATATATATACCATAGTTTGCAGATGCTATAACTTTCACACAAACCAATTAATAAACAATTATTGGAATTTTTTTACCAAAGACATGTAGCTGAATAAATTGTGGCCTAATTTTGTGAAAAAATTTGTTTTTATGGGCTATGTTTTATAACAGAAAGTGTTGTGTTTTTGTTTTCAAAATCTTCAGCCTTTTATTCAGTCATATAGCAAAAAATAAAAAACCCAGTAGTGACCATCAAATAAGGTTCTACTGAGTACAGTGTTGCATGTTAAAGTGGTTGTAAACCTAAAAAACACAAATCAATCTAATCCTACAGTTGAATTGATTTTACCTTTGCTAAGCATTTGAGCTTAGTTTGGTATCTTGATGCAATCCCCTTCTCCAGAAATCCCCCTGCTCTTCTGAACAGAATAAATCCGACACAAGCAGAAAAATGGTGTCACCACTCCCCTTCTCCTGTGAGTGACAGACTGTGTTGAAGACAAGACCGGCATGAGCCTCCATGTAATACACTGCAAAGGGGTGGGAAAGCAGGTGTCCTCTCCCTGCTGGTCTCTGCTTCACAAGATCGAGAACTCAGCACCAGTGATTTATGACATAGATCGGCATCACTTCAGTAATGCTGTAGTTATCTAGGTATGTTTACTGCTGATTGTTGTCCTGCTCTATTCACAGCACCTAGCTTGTAAATTGCTGTGTACAGAGTTTTATAAGAGAATGTTTCCTGGTCCACATTGCTACTTTAGGCTGCCGAATTCCTAGGATTTTTAACATTAACCCCATCCTACCAGCTTTGTCCTGATTAGCACAGATCCTGTGCTGTAAGCAGAGCTGACATAGTCACTGGTACCTGTGTATTCCCCTGAATGCCCTCACGAGACATGCTCACAGGCATAGAGATGTCAGATACTGTAGCTGTGCATGTTCTTGAGCCGAGGCTGGAGGGTGTGCATAATTGAGGGATTGTGTGACTTCACATCTCCACCTACTTTTCTCTGGTCCTAAGCCACGCCCACAGACCAGCAGTTTTTGGAGGGCTGAAACAAGCTAAGGGAGCATTTATACCGAGGTACACTCACAGCTGTATGTATGTTTACATTAAAATGTATTCAACGATGGCAAAATCTTTTTTATATTTGTGTTTACAACCACTTTAACCGCCTGCCATATAAGGAAATGAGGGAGGGCGGTGGTTCTCTAGTTCTGGGATGACATCATATGATGTCCTTCCATTCTAGTTGCACATGCGCGCCCTCGGGGGCACGTGGCGCGGCGATCCGTGGTGCGCCCTGTTCCTGAGACACAGCGGAACAATGATCGCAGTAAAGAGCAGATGACGTAAGGCTCTATCATGTGATCAGTGTCCAATCACAGCTGATCACATGTAAATAGGAAATGCCAGTTATCAGAAGTCCTCTCCTCATGCTGACAGTGCGTGAGGAGAGGAGAGGAAAGCCAGTAAGCAACGTTCTTCAGAGGGGACATGTACACTGATCATGATACTGATCAGTGTAGCCCCATCAGTGCCACCTGTCAGTGCCCATAATTACCACTTGTCAGTGGCAATCAATGTCACATACCAGTGCCCATCAGTGTACATCAATGCCACATATCAGTCATATCAGTACATATCAATGCCACATATCAGTGCCCATCAGAGCTGCCTTTCAATGCCAATTATCAGTGCCAGTCAGTGCCGCCCATCAGTGCCACCTATCAGTGACAGTCAGTGCTGCCTATCAGTGCCCATCAGTGCTGCCCAACAGTTCCAATCAGTGCCTCCTAACAGTGCAAGCAGTGCTGCCTACCAGTATTGCTTATCAGTGCCATATATGGGTGCTGCCTTTCAGTGCCCATGAGTGATGCCTACCAATGCCCACCAGTGATGCCTGTCAATGCCCATCAGTGCCTCCTCATCAGTGCTGCCTATCAGTGCCCATCAGTCCAGCCTATCAGTGCCCATCACTGCAGCCTCATTAGCACACATCAGTGAAGGAGAAAAATTACTTATTTACAAAATTTTATAACAGAAACTAAGAAAAAACTTTTTTTCAAAATTTTCAGTCTTTTTTAGTTTGTTTAGAAAAAAATAAAACACTCAGTGGTGATTAAATACCACCAAAAGAAAGCTCTATCTGTCTCAAAAAAATGATAAAAATTTAGTTTGGGTACAGTGTTGCATGACCGTGTAATTGTCATTCAAAGTGTGACAGCACTGAAAGCTGAAAATTGGCTTGGGCAGGTAGGGAGTAAAAGTGCCCGGTAGGCAAGTGGTTAAAGTAGCACAGTGCTGAATAGCAAAAATGCCCTGGTCATGAAAGGGGTAAAATCTTCCGGAGGTAAATTGGTGAACTTCAATTGTAATTGTTCATGCAAATGAAAAAAAAAAAATCAAGTACTGTATGTATATATATATTCTATATACCAATATAACATCTTAAACTATAATAAATAAGTTGAATTGGTAATAGTTGTACTTTTATAGAAAATAATCTTTGGTCATGTTCTCAAGCAAGCAGGTTTCTTTCGAAAAAAAAAAAAAAAAGACATGCAACAAAGTTTCTAGAAAATGTTTAAAATATCAGACGTAGCACCAAAATTTTCCCTTCTGACATAAATTTTACAGAGATTAAATTTAGCCCAGAATTTAAATGAATGTCTAAATATAGCAGACTCCCCATAAATATACGCTTATAAATAGCGAATTTCCCCCATGAATCAAGAAACAGCTTTATTTTATTACAGATCACAGTTAAAAAAAAAACTCGTACTAATTCATGCTGTCTGTCGCTCCCTGTCTTGACCGTTCTCTGTGAGCCGGGAATGGAAAAACAATCACCATCATGGTATTTTTTTTTTCTCTTGAACAGTGTAAAGCTTTGACCTAATATTGCAATCATTCCTGGTCCCACACATCCAGCCTACACAGGCACACATGCCAAAATTAACAGTCGCTATTTGTACATGAGATCACAGTTGGAAAATGAAAGCATATAAAACTAGTCTGAAGCTACATATTTAATCTAAATGTACCATTTCAAATGAATAGAGCTGTTTGGCTTTTATGTTCAGAAGGGGCCGACTAATATTAAGAGCTCAAATCCCTAACACATTTATTACACAGTTCAGACAAGCAGACTGAATGGCCTTGTGCTATTTTAGGAAAATGTCCTCAAGTCCTCTGCGTTTTACGCAGCTCTTATGTTCTTATTAACAGTTTGGGGCCTATTTAATCATACTGGACCCGAGGACTAATTT